TGATCTCCGCCACGGACTTGTGGGTGGGATCAACAGCATTTACGCCGTTTTATCCCTTGATAACGGTTTTATTTGTTTCGACATTCAGGTCATCGAAATGATTAAAACTAATCTATCTGTCCATAAAATTTGGAAGAATTACATTCATCATACAACGATCTCCATTAAAATGAGCTGTTTCTTCCAGTTTGCTTGATTATCGAACCCTCCACGTGCCAATATCCAGTTGACTCGCTTATAGCACCGCAAAATCCACGGCACAACCCTTGGATACAACTATTCGCACTTAGTGACAGCGCGTGTTGCCTGAATAAAAATTGAAGGCGCCTCCGCTTGTTGCGCTTTCACAAAAGCACATATGATTATCATCCGGCGGGTAGCGATCCACTAGCCGTGATTCATAGTAGGGATTCTGAAGGAGTCGTGAATGAGACTGCCTTGAATATATTCGCAACTTACCTTCACTTTTCAGATGCAATTGAATATTGTGTATTGAGACCATTATTCACCTGTAAGGCAAATGGGCGTGTATATCTGATGCTTTTTGATTAACTAATTACTACGCTCTTGTCCTGCGTGCCGACCTGTCATATATCGATGGCCAAAGTGCCAAACCACGTATCTTTATTGCGATGTTTCAAAGTTGCTGCCCCTATTGGGCCAATTGTATAACTTGAAATTCATGTTCAGAATATTTTGCTAATGAATAAGAATAATCAAGAAAGTTCTCGAGAAACTACATTGAATAGTTTTTCAAAGAAAAAATAAAGTATGACAGAAAATCTACAACGTCGCAACGGCGGCACGTGGTTTTGCACTTCGTTCATCGATATTAAAGGAGTGAGTTTATATCTTGTAAGCAGAATTTTAAAACGTTGGTTAAGATATTGAGTCGACTAGGTATGGAGGCACGGTATACACACAATATTTCACAGTTGTTGATAACTTTCCCCCAAAAGATACCAATATTTAGACGTGCGCGTCCTTTAGGGAGCTTGAGAGATCTCTGAATTTTTTATTTTCTTATTTTCTTATTTTTTTATTTCCTCATTTGTTTTCAAAATTATTATTGATTTGGACACATCATACCATAATTTGAGCAAATTAAACCTTAATCTTTCTCAAATTTCAAGAATAAGAGACGCCTTAAGGCGCGTTGATGCCAGCGCAGAGATACAACTATTCGTGATCGATGGATGGCCGTGTTGCATCTGCAAAATTGAAGGCACGATGGCGCTCGGTGTGAAGCTCCGTATTATGCCACCAATAAGGTGTCGCTCAGACTCGGGAGTAGAATTGGAAAACGAAGCCCGAATACGTTTTTCGTATCTTCGGCTTTGTTAACACAGTATTTTTTTCAAATCAACTTCTAATTTTTTTCAAGGTTGTATTTGTAGACCAATATCTGAAGCTTGTATGTGCATTGTACGGGCACTAGAGCATCCCAGAAGAGATGGTCGGATCAATTTGACCTGGCTTGAGCATCTAAAGGTCAAACAATTTTTTCTTTCCCAATTTTTTTTCTGTTTTTTCCTATTCCAAAGTATATAGTTGGAGTTACCAACTTCACTGAAAAAATCAGTAGTGTTCTCTAAATTTTAGTCCATTAAACTTTTGGACGACAAATTGTTTTTAAATAAACTGTCAGATCGTAGATAGACTTTGTTGCACCTGTCTACGCTCATGTGTCACAGTTGAACGCGATCGAGATGAGACGTGCCTTAAGTGGATTGTAGTAACCGGTTTTTTATTTACTTATGGCTTCGGCTTATTTTCCTTGACTCTTTCCGAGGGAAATTCCAGATCAACGTCAGAATCTTCAGGTAAACAGAGTGACAGTTGTGAGCACTCAGACTACATCTATAAATACAGATACTTTTAGGGCTATGCATATTCATGCAAGCAAAGGTTTATAAAAAATGCGTAAGGCGGCTCTGTTTTTGGCATTATATTTCTTCGTCGACACTAGAGAAAAAATCTTTTTTAAAATATCTTAGCATTTTAATAAGTTTTGAGGGAATCTTGTGACCCTTGGAACGTGGACAGTTTATGTCAACTGCTTAGCACTTTATCTGACTAATTTTTATTATTCTGTTGAATTTCCAAATTCTGCATTACTTATGGGGTATCTCGAACGTAGACATTTTTCATGAGAAAAGTATACAATAAGTTTTTGGAATATTTCTTCTGCATGTGAAATGTTTTATTAAGATTGCAAAATGCTCATAAAAATCATCCCTCTTTTTCTTTTTCTCGGATATAGGACCAGAAAATTATCGAAATGATGCACAACAAAGAAACTACTTGCTACCACAACGCCCTTTTGAAATTTTCATAACCAAAATCTTAGTTGAAAAAAAAGAAATAATAAAACCAATAATTTTTCTTCCCAAATGTGCAGGACTGCTATTATTTTTCACGAGGACTATATCGAGGGTTACAATTCAAAGGAATCCTGGGTGAATACCTGTTTACCCTGGTAAAAGTTGGCGATAAGAGCTGCGTTTCAAAATACCATAGGAATTCTTATAGCCGGCTAAAGAAGGCTACAGAAAATCATAAAGCTGGCTGTAGAAAATCATACGGTCGGGCTATACGAAGCTATAAAAAATTATGCAGCCGGGCTATAGTTCCTATCGCCGGGCTTTACACTGTATCGCCTGACTGTTGCTTTTTCGCCATTGATTATAAAAGGCTATAAGAAATTGTGTAGAATTTCGTGTGCTTTGGAAATCATTAAGTTTGATACGGAACCACCTTAATATTTACAAAACACACGTTATATTTTCCTTTTATACATATTTTTTTTTCATCAATTAAAATGAGAATTATCCATACAGGATGTGCAAACATTTCAAAATCATGAGTTGAATAACGCTGACTCCGCCAGATTAAATATTAGAGCCTAACACAAAGCGGAGCGGCGAGGCACTGGCGCCTACAAACCTGACAGGGATACTTCACGCATTGCGCAACGCTTGAAGTAACTCTGTTAGGTTTGTAGGCGCCAATGCGTGTTTCACGCTGGCTGCCCGCCTGCCACGGCGCTTGAAGCAACTATTTATATTGCATAGTATCATACAAAACTGAAGGCGCTCTAATATATTAGTAATGGCAGGCATCCATCAAAAGTACGGAGCTTTCCTCGCCAAATAAATCATGATACTACGGCCCAAAAAGAGAGCAGTATTCCAAAAACTCACTAAGTCCTAGCATCCGTAATTAGTAACGTTTAGCGTACACTCTATCGCCTGGCTGTTGCTTAATCGCCATCGGCTATAAAAGGCTATAAGAAATTGTGTAGCCGGCTATAGAAGCTATTGGAAATCTTACAGCCGGCTGTAGGTCTATGGTATTTTTGAACACAGATTCTACTGTCAATTTTTACCAGGGTAAGATTTGCGCTTTCAATTTTGACATTGGTATTATAATACACTTCTTTTTTGCATAGAATTGGAGTTAAAGATTCACCTTCTACAATCCCAAGAATGATACCTAAATGCTCACCTCATTACCTACTATTCCAACTCATTCTTTGCATGCTACGAAAGAACTATTGACCGCAAACGGAAGCAGTCCTTCTCCATAGACTCATAATCGATTCTAACTGTTCGGCCTTAAAAACTCTAAATCTATTTGTACGCGTCTTTTCAGAAGTTGAAAGCTGCGACCATATAGCTCCTTCTTCCTTTTGTTTCTTTGTTTCCTTTGTGTTGAAGCACTCAATTCCGGCTGTCAAATTCCGTGCTTATCACAACTATCCGGCATTAAGCCCGTCTAGCTTCGTGGCTTTCAGTCTGGTCAGCGAAGATTTCGCACTAGACAATAAAACGCATTGACAGCTCTGTCTTGTTACGGAAGAAGACCGTAAGTACACCCCGGAATGAATCTTAAAGTTCATAAGAACACATGCTAACCGCGGCTTTCGCCGATTTGTTATTGTCTCTTTCGAACTGCCGTGCTGAGGATAAATGAGGTAGCTATGAGCCATCGGACGTAGCCATATTTCCTTCGATGAAAAACTAGTTTTCCAGGAATCTTTGAATATCTTTTGACGGTTTTTCAGAGAATCTTATTATTCAAGATTTGATTTACTCTGAGAAAATTGAAAATGTTCTTTGACTTAAAAAAGTAATGGAAATGTTGATAATACTGTGCATAGTAGCTAACATTTTAAAAATTGTTTAAAAAAATTCTGTTCGATTTTAAGGAATTTTTCTACCTTCATTTTTTCTCTTTTTCTCTCAAAGAAGACATTTTTTACTCAAAGATTTTCTTTTACATTCAAAGTATTCTTTTACTTTTTTTAATGAAAGAAAAATTGAATTTGTCATTGTAATCGCACACAGTTAAATTTCTTTTAATTACAAAAAAAAATAAATAATTTGCAAAGAAAAAATTCATTCACCCGAAAAAAAGTGTGATGAACATTTTTTCCCTCGAAAGTACAAAAACTTTTTAGCGAGAAAATGGTGCTAAAATCAAAGACATTTTTTTTTAAATTAGAAGAAGTTTTTTAACAAATTTTTAAAAATCAAGAACAAACACTGCGGGAAAAAAACACATTGAATCTGTAGAGTCCAAACTCTTTAAAACATCGACAAGAAAAAATACTCCTGATTCAATCAGATTTAAGCTAAAATCAAGAACCAAGCCTCTTAATTTGAGCGGATTTCCTTTTGATTTAAGCTTATAAATCTGATTGAATCAAGAGTCTTTTTTCTTGTCAATGTTTTCAAGAGTCTGGACTTTAGATCCAATGTGTGTTTTTTTTTTTCCACTGAATATTCGTAACTTTCTTTAAATATATAATTTTTCACGGGAAATTTGGCAACGTTTGAATGCTCATACGACTTTCCTCCTCAGCACATGCGGTGAGGTCGAGACGCGACTGAAAATGAAAATCGGAAAGGAGGCATAATGAGTCACGACTTGGCGGAGACCGATGTCCAGTAATTTAAATTTAATAACAGCCGGTGTTTGCGTTTGTCTTGTTTCAGGTCGCTCAATAAAATGGCACTCCTCGCCGTTTCCTGCGTACTAACCTTCGTTCTTCTCGGGTCAGTCCGAGGTCATACCTACCATCTCGGGGACTGCCCTAATGTCGAACCCATGCCAAATTTTGAAATGTCCAAAGTGAGTACCTTTCTTTTGCAAATAATTTGTAGCTGGAATATTTTTGGATAAAAAGGGCACAAAAGGGACCGTTCAAGTATTACGTAACGCACTTGGAGGGGGGGGGGGTG